GACTGGTTTCCCAATACAGGGCTGTGGCCTCTGCACACAGAGACATTCAGTAATAGTAACTGAAGCCTCCCCATGAGCTCTGGCCCTAACTACAGCCTCGTTTCCTTACCAGTGCGCCCCTTCTCTTCCTCCAAACCTGCACCCCCCAGTCCCCAGTGATCTCCATAGTAACAATGTACAGGCTCTTGTAGGTGGTCATGTTGCTGCAGCTGTTGGCACTGCGTGCTCCTGAGGCGCGGTTGTTTCCAGAGCATCCTTAGTATTACACATCCCTGCTTCTCCCTTCTCCCTTCTACCTTTGAGCTCTACTTTAGATCCTTTCATCTTCCTCTCTTCCTTTGTCCTGAGATGATTTTATTCACTCATGGTTGGTTAGATTTTTTGTTTAAAGATCTGTTTATACGTACAGAATAGGTATAGGTCAGAGGTATGGGGCATGAGAGGATTCACCAGAGACAGTGGGGAGCAGAACAGGCAGATTGACTGAAGTACACTGCTGAGGAGAGCAGCAGGTGGGTCAGGAGAGGTCTGCTGTGCCATGTGGGTCACCCCTGACCAGGATTGGGAATCAAAGATGCTTTCCATGTTACAGAGCTTCACTGGCTGCCCAGCCCCACCTTGAGTTCCCAGTAGCTAGCCCAACGTGGCCACGTGTAAAGTGGAGAAGGGGAACATGGTACCCCCCAACACCATGCTAGTAGATCACTTGTTGTCCCAGCCATTCAGTTTGAAAAGGTCTTGTTTGCTTGGCAGTTAGCATAAAATTCACTCATGTAGTATGCAAATGGCCTTTCGAATATTCATGGTTATGCAACCAGCACCACAATCAATTTTAGATTATTTAAAAGCCTTTGATGAACAGGTTACTGTAAGTCTTTTAAAATGTAGGAAGGCCTTTTTATGTCTCAATAGTAATTTTTTAAAGATTTAATTTATTCTTCAAGAGTTGGAGTGTAAGCCAGGCCTCCAGGGGGTGAGAGGACTCCCCAGAGACAGAGTGGGGAGCAGAACAGTCAGATTGACTGAAACACACTGCTGAGGGGAGCAGCAGGTGAGACAGGAAAGGTCTGCTGCACCATATTTAGATTAGCTCCATGATGAGGTATGAAACATGCTGCAGTGGCTGTGATAAAGCTTCATAGTGCTGTGCTTCAACAGCTTTTACACCCACTGGGGATGGCCCAGTTTGTTACATTTTATGCTAACAATTCCCTGTCCTAAACCAAACCTATCTCTTGATCTCCATGATGCTTACACACTGGCAACTTACTAAATATGTAGCTAAAAAGATAAGGGAGGTAGAGTCAAGTACTACCAAACATAATTTACATGAATAACTATGTTAAATACAACATATCCTAATATTAGCTATGTCATCTTGCCCTGCTTCTAACTTTCTCTGGAAGTGATGTTGCCAAGTCAACACTAGCTTGTGAAATCCAAAAAAATCCAAGATTCCTGATCATTGGGTCTCCTGTGACCAGAATGACCTTTCTAGAATGCACATCTGAGCATGTCTCTTAAAAAGCGAAAACAAAAACAAAAACTTTACAAAGCTTCGCATTGCCTTTACCTGGCTTTATCTTCCTTAGCCTGGTTTTAAGATACAAGATCTGCACCTACCAGGTGCATCAGACTCTTCCCCCATCACTTTTCTGCACTTTTTACTTCCCCAAACTGGTGCTTCCCTTTCAGGGCCAGAGCAGTTAAAACTAATAAGTCGTTAGGATTTGGACTACAGCCTGATCTGTACCTTGATTTTCTCAGGTGTAAAACAGAGTAATAATGACAACCATCATTAAATTCCCTGTATTAAATTCATTAATGTATAGAAAGCACTTAGAAGAGAGTGCTTAGGCTCTCCCTGGTGGCGCAAAGGATTAAAGCACTGCATTATGAAGCTATCCACAGCCACTGTGGCAGGAGTTAGAGCCCCTGCTAGGGAGATGACCCACATGGCCTGGCAGTCCTCTCCTGACCCACCTGCTACTCCCCTCAGCAGTATATTTCAGTAGATCTGTCTGTTCTGCTCCCCACTCTGTCTCTGGTGAATCCTCTCATCCACCGCACCTTTGGCCTGTACCCCAGTTCTGTAAGCACAAATAAATCTTTTTTAAAAATAAAAAGAATAGGGCCCTCCCTGGTGGTGCAGCGGGTTAAAGCCCAACTCTAAGAAGCTAAAGCCACTTCAGCATGAGTTTGATCCCCGTCCCAGAGGTGACCCACATGGCGCTACAGACCTCTCCTGACGCACCCGCTGCTCCCCTCAACAGTGTACTTCGTTGATCTGTCTGTTCTGCTCCCCACTCTGTCTCTACTGAATCCTCTCACCGCCTCTGTACCTCTGGCCTGTATGCATAAATAAATAGATCTTTAAAAAAATAATAAAAAGAATAAAGAAATGAGTATTCATGTTACAGGGCAACCTCGTTCAGAATATCCTTTCTCCCCTAACACACTACAGTAAGTCCTATTATTTATTAACTCTCATTTTTACACAAGTGCCAGGTATTGGGGGATGCGATGATGTCTTTTTCTTAATGAGGCTATGAGTGGTGGAGGAAGAGGACGAAGTTATTAAATAATTATATGTGGATATGACAGAGGGGAAGCAAAGTGCAAAAGAAAAAGAACAAAGGAGCCAGGTCGTCCTCAGCAGATCCCCTGGATACTGGAGAGAAGAATCCATAGCAATGGGTGAGATGGGGAAACGATCCTCCAGCCGGAAGGCGGCGCTGCCGCACCGCCCAGGCAGCGGGATAACAGCAAACCGGAGGACGCTCTACAAAGGTCACGTGCTGCCGGTTTACTGCCCCGGCGGTAGCTCGCGCTTGCCTCCACGTGACTTGCCTGCCCGGGGTTGAGGTCACGGAGGAAGGCGCGGGGGGAGCTGACTGGCCAGTGGGGCGGGGCCGGGGGCGGAGGGGTGGGGCCGAGGGGCGGAGCTGGAGGGGGTTGGTTCAGCGTGGGGGCCGTTGGCTCCAGACAAATAAACATGGAGTCCATCTTCCACGAGAAAGTGAGTGTCCGCGTTCGGTGAGGGGCTGCCTGCGGCGCGGTGGCGGGTGTGGGGTGCGGTACCGCCGCCTCCCGCATTGCTGGGTGGGGCCCGAGTCGCCCCTCTCCCCAACTCGCCGGGCGGGAGGAGGTTCTCTGGGAACGGAGCGCACCGACGCCCCCACCGCACCCTCCGACCCGGAGGCCGTGTCGGCGGGTGCGGGAGGACGGGGGACCGAGGCGTCCCGGGAGAAGGGGTCTGGGGGCGCCTCGGGGCTTCGGAGGAGGAAGGGGTGGCACGGAGTGGCTGGCGTTGGCGCGTCCCTTTTTCTCCGTGGGATTCCTTCTCCCTTCTCCCCACTTGGTTCGATCTAGTCGCGGCTCGGACTCCTCCCTCGACCGGCCCCCGCTCCACCCCACTCCCTCAGCCCCTGCCTGGCAAAATTAACTTTTCTGTCTCTGGGCCCCTCAGTTCACTATTGGAATCGCCGGTACACTTGGGTCTTAGGGGCGGTGGTCATGCGTTTGTCCTGCCCCGGCTCCGGGCGCCCCTCGAGGGCTGGGACCTTGGTTTGTCCCTTGGCAGGCCGGGCCCTTGGGGAAGTGAAGTGGGAAGCCCCGAGCGCCCCCGAACTGGGAGTCGTCACTGGAGTTTTTATGACGGGATGTGTAGGTTTCGTTTCTCTCGCTAGTCCCATGTTTCTGGATCCGGAGGGCCCTTTCCTGTTACATACTGGAGGGGCTGGGGCTGGTTTTGTCGTGGTTCGCTTGTTCGAGCTCCGCGCACTTGATGATACAGTTTGTGGCATGTGGAGAAACTCGTCCCTTTTGGGTGTGGGTGAAACCTTCCTCAGGACAACTTTGACACACGATAGCTTGTTTGTTTGTTTCTTTTCTTTTTTTTTTTTGGAAAGGGTGGCTGGTGTGGCTATTGAGTAGAAGCGAAGGGGTTTTATTTTGTTAAACAGTTATAAATGAGCATTTATCCTTTTAAACTGTCACAGGACGATTAGTATGTGAACTAAAGACAAAAAAGGCATTGTATAAATTTAAGCATATCATTCAAGTGGACCCTTTTTCTACAGAAAACCTGAAAAATAATTTTGGTGTTAGAATAGATGGGTGTTTACCTGGAAGGGGGAGAAACTTCTCAATAGTATAGTTATAACTAATCTCTTGACTTGATTAACATGATTTATGAATCTTGGACAAGAGAATTTTTGGTTTGTGATTGGATGAAGGGAACCCAGCCTGTACATATTTTTGTATTAATTTTCAGAAGCTTTGGTATAAGTAGATGTTTTAACTTTTTTGCAAATTGTATGATTTTTTAAAGAGATTTGTTTGTTAATGCATACAAGAACTGGGGTACAGGCCAGCGGTGCTGGAGGGTAAGAGGATTCACCAGGGACGGAGTGGGGAGCAGAACAGGTGGATGGACTGAAATACAACGCTGAGGGGAGCAGCAGGCCGGGATAGGAGAGGATTGCCTAGCCATGTGGGTCAGCGCCCTGGGCTGGGATGAAACTCCTGCTACAGTGGCTGCGGCCAGCTTCACAGTGCTGCACTTTAATCCAGTGCGTCACCAGAGAGGGACCTGTACAATATTTTTTTAATAATACTAACTTTTCTAGTTTAGATGGATTACCATGAAGACAGCTACTAGACCAAGGGGTCGGAAAGAAGCTGGATGCTAGCTAACCTAGTGAAAATCTGCTTATCTGAAAAAGTTATTTAATTATCAGTATGCATGTACCTTTAAAGATGCCCTAGGGATATATTTATGCTTATGACCAACTTATATGTGCTTAGGCACTGAAGCAAGTTCAGTTTGGTCCATCAGCTAGCTTGCTAGCGCCTAACTTAAACCCTAATGCTCAGTGGCTTCTAGCTGCTGGGATTTTGTCTTGCTTTTTGGCCTCTGTGTTATCACTTCTGTAGTTGATTGTGCCATCCAGATTGGTTCTGAAGTGTATTATGAGCTAAGAATGAGAATCAAGTTTGAAATGATATTTTAGTGAAAATACTAAAGATGTTGAACATTGGGCCCTCCTTGGTGGTGCAGTGTGTTAAAGCGCAGCGCTACAGAGCCGGCGGCTGCTTCATTCCGCACGAGTTCCATCCCCGGCCAGGGAGGTGTCCCACATGGCGCGGCAGACCTCTCCTGACCCACCCGCTGCTTCCCTCAACAGTGTTCTTCAATGATCTTCCTGTTCTGCTCCCCGCTCTGTCTCTGGTGAAGCGTCTCACCACCCCTGCACCTCTGGCCTGTACCCCAGCTCTGTATGCATAAATAAATCTTTAAAAAAAAAAAGACGTTGAACATTGACTTTATAATTGCAATTACGCCCATCATGAGGTTGCTGGCTCCTTAGCCATCTTTAGGGTAGTTGAAGTTAGTTAGGAATAACCAGATTTCATACAAGTGCCTTGAGATACGGTGATAACGCAGACTTGAAGACACCCAGGTTTAAATAGCATCTCTACCATTTATTACCAGAACATATGCACCTGGGCAAGTTACTTCCCTTTGTGCTCCAGTTTCTTCCGTGGTAGGAGGATATTGAAGTGTCGTCTGAGAAGGTGCTTAGAAGGCTGCCCAGTGCACATGCCATCCCTGTGCTGAGCATTGTTTTTCAGATTCTGTGTCTACTCTACCTCAAAGCATAGAGAACCTTTTAATCTCTGAGAAAAAATGAAAAGGTGCTGCCAAGTTGATTGTGAGTCCCAGGTTTGCCCATTTCCGAGTGCACCCTTAGTTTTACCTGGTTTCTGTTCAAGCCTAAAAACTGTCTCTGGGGATTTAAAAGTAGTTTCAAGGTGGTGCTGAAGACTTTGGGGGCAGTGAGGGAATGGGTTGGTTTTATAAACTGTCTTGGTAAAACTCTGATCCCAACACTAGTCTAGTTCCAAATACTAGACTTGAAATCATTAAATTTCAATGCCACCAAACTTTAGGGCTTACAAGCTTCTTATCCAGCTGGTTTAAAACTTGATAACAAAGAGGTTGACTAGAAATCTTTGAGGGGCAAGGGGATAACCTTCATCTTAAATGATGCCATTGTACAATTTTTTTAGTACATGTAGAATTTTACTCATCTTGTGGCTTTGAAAGCACAAGAATGATTTATTCTTTCCTTCCATTAAATTATATTAGAAGTACAGAACTTGGTATTATTTTCTATAGCAATAACAATATAGTTTTACTGAGACAAGTTTGATTACAAGTACTTTTTCGTATTTTAATTATTTCATAGAAAGATTTTTGAAATAAAGTATTTGTATTCACTAGCTCTGTGTATGATCGTAAACATGGTGACCTTAGTTTGAGCGCTCCAAACTCAGGCATGAATGTAGTCTTCAGCTGGACAGAAAATTCACATTAGGACTATTCCCAGAAAATCTATTCTCTGATCATGGTGTTAGGTAGCTTGTGATGTATGGAATATCTTTATTTCAGCAGAGGATTTTGTTGTTGTTTGAATTATTTTATTGAACTATAGGGGCACACAGATCTAAGAGTACCACTCCGTGAATTGTCAGAGTGAACACATATATAAATAGGACTAGAACGAATTACAGAATATTTACCTTTACCCTGTGTAGCCCCCATTTTGCCTTCTTGTAGATAGTCTTCCTCAACCACTCCTTCCCCCCAACACCTGAAAGGGTACCCAGTATTGCCTGATTTTGAGCTTTTTTAAGTGGTATCCTTACAGTGGGGTCATTATAGACTCAGTTTTGAGTCTGTCTTTTGTCAAACGTTGATCGAGTCTACCTTTTTGTTACTGGTGGTTGTAGTCATTGCGTTCTCAGTTCTGTGGTATTCCTTTATGACCATGATACAGTTTACCCATGCTACTGTGATGGTTCCCTTTGGAACCTGTTACAAATAGTAAGTCTGTCAACAAAGTTTCTTGTTTGTTTTGTGTACCTAGTATTGGAATTGCTAGACCATGAGCCATGTTAAGCTTCATTTGGTGTCACAATACACCAAAGTTTTCTAAAGTGATAATGCAAATTTCCATTTATATCACTAGTAAATGATATTTTTGATATCTCTAATCCTTTCTACATTTTAGCCATTTGGGAAATTGTGTAGTAGTAACACATTGTGATTTTAATATATATTTTCCTGATGACCATTGAGTTGAGTACCTGTTTTATGTTTTTTAGCCATTTTACTGTTCTCTTATAAATGCTTGTCTTGTTCTTTTTCCAATAGAATATAAGATGGACATCTCTTCAACTCATTATCATTGTGTGGGAATTGCTCCCTGATAGTAGGAATACAATAGAAGAAAAGGGAGAAGACAAGTCTTCTGTCACTTTGTAATGATGACTTGGCAGATAGTGCTTGCTATGGTTCTAAGTTATTTGACCCATACCAAATATGAAGGCAGACTGATTTTGACTCCCTGTCTCAGACTCAGATCTGCTCAGTCTGACTTCCTAATCCTCTATAAACATGTACTCTGTCGTTTCCAGCAGTTGGATTTTGTTCCTAGAATATTAACTCATCATGAAAATGGTGTTTTGTAAGTGTTGCTCTTTGGGGTTACCACCTGTGTGACATCTTACTCTGGACAAAGTGCCACAATGCCTCCCAGGCTGGATTAAGGACTGGACTTTCCTGAGTGAAAAGTTAGAGGGCCAGGGTTAGCAGAAGATGTTCTCTCATCTGCCATCATTCAATACAGAGATCAAACTGGAGTCTGGATTCAAAGGGAGCAATCTCCTCCACAGACGAGTCTCCCTTCTTTACAGGGTTGGCGTGGGAAGGCAGTGTTGTGTTGGGGTGAGCGGGATAAGCTGGTTTTTCAGTGCAAGGCATACTGGATTTAGATTTGAGGTACAAGTTGTATGAGGAAACCTTCCAGGGCCCAGGGGAAATTGTACTTTTTTTTTTTTTTAAAGATTTATTTATGCATACAGAACTGGGATACAGATCAGAGGTGCAGGGGCGGTGAGAGGATTCACCAAAGGCAGAGTGGGGAGCAGAACAGGCAAATCAAGTGAAATACACTGTGGAGGGGAGCAGTGGTTGAGACAGGAGAGATCTGCTGTGCCCTGTGTATCACCTCCAGGGCCTGGGATTGAACTTGCCTTGAACTGGCTGCTGCTAGCTTGCAGTGCTATGTCCTAACCCGTTGCACCATCGGGGAGGGCCAGGAAATTATACTCTTCCCAACTCCAGGAAGCTAATGATCTTGTGGGGAATTGGTTTGAACACGGCACCCCCACTTAGAGGCATGTCCAGAAGTGAGCTCCAAGGGTGTTTTTGGAACAGTTTTGTTCATTGCACTATACACAGTGTTGTGGAATTCCTCAAAGAGAACATTGATTCTAACTACAAGTCTTCAGGAACAGAATTTCTTGTATTAATTCTTAAGGTTCTTTATCATAGGTATCAAATTCCATGATCACTGTAAAGGTTGAGGAGAGATTATCTTGTTAAAAGAACACATGTTCTAAGGATTAAAATGCCTTTCAGCAGTAGTAATTTGCCATGGAATCTTTAATGATGAGTATGTTAAGCACTGGAATGAGAGTTTCTATAAAGTACTTCTTAGTAAAATATGAAGATTTGGTATATGTGATGTTAATGAAAATCCTAAATTCTGATCATATAATAATTGTAGTTGCATTAATGCTGGAATTGTAAAGTGTTAACAAATGAAAATATGTGTACTTATGTTCGTACTTGTCTAAAACTAAAAAGGTTTGGTTTGACTATACTTAGGATTAAATTCCTCTTTAAGGAAAGACACTGTACAATTCTGTTTAACAAAGCACATTTGAATTTTTCTTTTGGAAATATTAGCAAGAAGGCTCCCTTTGTGCACAACACTGCTTGAATAATCTATTACAAGGAGAATATTTTAGCCCTGTGGAGTTATCTTCAATTGCACATCAGCTAGATGAAGAAGAGAGAATGAGAATGGCAGAAGGGGGAGTTACTAGTGAAGACTATCGCACTTTTTTACAGGTACTGATTTTAAACATAGGACACCCCCCCCTTTTTTTTTTTGAAAGTGTGGGTACTGTTTAGAAAAGGAAGGGGATCTGACTTGTTAATTGTAACTGCACTTGGACTTTGTGAGGGGAAATGCACAAGATGTTGTTTTAAATAAACACTAATGACAGTTTTTATCCTTCTCTCTCCACCCTCAACCCTGGTCTCAACTCCTATCCAAATTACACAGCAGCCTTCTGGAAATATGGACGACAGTGGTTTTTTCTCTATTCAAGTAAGTAGTCACAAACAGGTTGTAATTTGTTGCTTAGGTCCCAACCCAAACACCTTTTAAGCTCCAGTTATGATTGATGGTATCTCTTCAGAGCCTTTCCCAGTTGATAGAATGTGTCTACGGATGTAACATGTTCCAGAGCACAAGCTTTTAATGTAGATAAACATAAAAGGTAGATTTGTCGTCTTCATTTTAGAGGAGCACTTTTTGAGTGATTATTTAATTTGTATCTGATAATTCAAAAACTTACTACCTCTTGCATAAATTTGAGAAAATGCAGCCCCTCGCACCTTTTATATAATCAGTCTGTAGGCTTGAATTCTTTTGTTATGTTCTGTGGCTTTTTTTTTTTTTTAATTTCTAGAGTAAAGTTGAAT